TTTAATCTTCCTCTGTTCTAACAATAAGGGAGTGAAAGAAAATTGTTTTTCTTTTTTTATTTATCTACCTATACTCTCTTGCTTCACAGTCTCATATACTCATTAAATCAAAAAGATCCCAAGTTCCTTATTCCTTTGTAGAAGAGGGAAGCGAGGAGGAACAGGAAGGATTTTACTGAGTTGGCTATGCAGCAGCTTACGACAGACAAGAGATACACCGATGGAATGTGTGAATATGGGTGTGTGGTGGTGGTGGTCAAGTGTCAGAGCACATGGGAAGGTCAGAAGAGAGTGTCTTTTGGTGTGCCCTCTACACCATGAGATTCTAGGTCAACTGGCACAAAACCCACCCCAGGCCTGGCCATCATTTAAATTAATGTTCTTACATTGCTCATGCTCTTGCTTCCTCTCCCTCCTGTATTCAGCTGAAGGCTGACCACCCCATTTCTAGCCAACATGCTGACTTTTAACCACTTCCTGAAGATAATCATTACTCTTTCTTTGCCAGTTCACCCTTAGGCTGTTCTACTCTTTGCTTGCTCCACCTAGTCCAGATTCTAAAAATATCATGGGGTCACACGTCTACAATGAAAACAGGCTTAGTATTTTCTTTACCCTACAAGGGGAATCAAGGAATTAAAGTACACATATTCAACAGGAGGGTCTTAACTGAGATATATACCAAAGTGTACAATAAGAATAAGGAAGGGTTACTTTGGCTGGTAAGACCACAGGTGACAAATTTTGAAGTCAGGAAGTAAACACATTTGCAAGTCAAGAGATCAACATGCTTGGTGGAAATATGTTATCTAGGGATTCTCAAAGAGAAGGCAGAATGTTAGAGACAAACTTAGCTAACTGAACAAGTAACTAGATGATATTCATGCTTGGGGAGCAGTAGTCTTCCAACATGTAGGATGGAGTCCAGAGGATGGTGGCTTTGGGCATTAAAACCACAGCCACTTGAGGAAGTAGCACCTAGAGTGATACGCCAAAAGAGGGAATGGAATTAGGGGTTCCAGAAGGTCCAGATCAAAGCCTCACTCCTCTGGTGGTGGGTGAAGAGCAAGACAAAATCGGTGGTGACTGAAGCTTGGGACTGGGGTACCTGGGGACAGAGTAGCATCCAGAGGGGAGAGCACAGGGTGTGGTCTGATGTCAGTGTTAAGCATTTGGAGCCCAAAGTGACAGCAGAAGTAAGTGAAGATGTGAGGCACATGGGTAGCTCGGTCTGTTGAGCATCTGACTTCAGCTCAGGTCATGATCTCACAGCTTGTGAGTTCCACCCCACATCGGGCTCTGTGCTGATGGCTTGGAGCCTGGAGCCTGCTTCGGATTCTGTGTCTCCCTCTCTCTCTCTGCCCCTCCCCTACTCACACTCTTTCTCTCTCTCTCTGTCTCAAAAAATAAACATTAAAAAAAATTTTTTTTTAAAAAGAAGTAAGTAAAGATGTACAGCAATTTGTGCTGCACAGCACACTGGAATTCAGTCACAGATTTGGAGTCTGTTGCTCTAGGCCTATCTAGGCCTTGACAAAGCAGAAGTCAGAGCTTTAAACAAGAATTAGAGTAGGAAGTACAAGGCAAAAGGCAGCCATCATGGAGATCCAGATGGGTCTACTGTCTAGACTCAATTCTGTTTCTCCCACTTACATAACACTCCATCAGAAGGTGAGATGTGTCCATCCATCTATTCGTCCCCCCATGTTCTCACCCATAGCTATGTCCAGCAAGTACTGATTACCTATTACAGACAATACTTCAGTAGATGTTGTGGCTACAATCAGAGGTTATATGCTCTAATAACCAGTGTATGACAGACGCCAACCAGTGAGAACAAACACATTGTATGACATTTGAGGGTCATTAACTCTTTTGTTCAGGATCAAGGGTTCATGTACGGGCATAATGCACATGGAATCGCAGGGAATAAAGGTGCTTAGGGGCCTGGGGACAGCAGCAGTTCACCAACCAATGTCCACACTGGTATTTATCAGCTAAGTATCAGCATGAATGCAAGGATACAAATTTCAGAACTGGCCCCCTGTACTGACAGGGCCTCCAGTCTCGAGCTGCCCCATCCAATGTGATAGATTATTACTAGCCACATGACACTGTTTAAATTTAAAATAACTAAAAATAAACAAAATGATAAACTTAGTTCCTTGGTTACAATAGCCACATTTCCAGTGCTCAGTGGTCATATCTGGCTACTGGTTACCATACTGGACAGCAAAGATAAAGAAGATTCCTACCATGACATAGAGTTCTTTTGGATAGCACTGGACAAAAGGAAAACATTAAATTAATTTTTGGTTAATTAATTATACTTCTGACATAGCATGCCAAGGGAAGTATAATCTGGCAGGAAATAGAGATCTAAGGAAGGCTTCCACTGGAACTTAAATTTAAAGGTTGTAGGAAATTAGGGGCGCCTGGGTGGTTCAGTCGGTTAAGTGTCTGACTCTTGATTTCAGCTCAGGTCATTATCCCACAGTTTGTGGGATCAAGCCCCATGTAAGACTTCATGCTGATAGCATGGAGCTTGCTTGGGATTCTCCCTCTCTCTGTTTCTCTCTCTAAAAATAAATAAATTAACTTTTAAATAAATAAATACATAATAAAAACTTCTAAGAAATTACTCTGAAGCTGAAGTTCAACCAGTGACCCTACAACCACCAGCCTGCTGTGGCTCTCCTTTGTGTATACAGATCACAAAGGGATGTGGAGACCTACAATCCTACAAAGACATCAGAATGTGCAAAACAGCTCTGTATCATATACACCAGCCAATCTGTGCCAAAGGGCACCAATGCAAATGGAACATTCTGGAAAAGAATAAACAATGAAAGATAACCAGACTTTGGAAGTAGTAAATGAACATTGATTTTCTAAAGCCAACAGAGACCTCAAAACCCTAACTCAGACCATCACAGGATAGTCACATCAGGGCAGGCACAACGTTAGATGTGTGCAAATTCTAAAACCAGGACTGTTGCTTCCAGTAAAATCCCATGAGGGGCAGTTTCCTAAGCAGCAATGTTACTGGTGAGGCGAACCCAACACCCAGACACACAGCCAATGTAGACGTCAGGCCATCTGTTTCTTGACCATGAAGCAACCTCCCAGAACTCGATCTCTGTTGTAGGGGATGTAACCCCTTGGCCCCAGATGTTGATTGAGGTTCACTGCTCCAGGGAAGCTAGGACCACAAGGTAAGCATTGAAATCTATTAGGTACACAGAAATTGGGCAGCTGCTCTAAATATCCCCAGTGAGGAGTTTTTCCATTTCTTCCTTTTTTATTTTTTCTTAAATTATCAGATATCTACACACTGGTGTAGAGCAGCAAATTAATAATTTTTTTTTCTCTTTAGACGGCAATCGTAGATATGGAAATACCATACCCAAAGACAAATTAACATGAGCTCCTTACAACGCTGTACTAATTATCTCGGGGACCAGAGCCTCCCCTAGGTTAGAAATTTCAGCCCCAATCCAGGGATGGAACATGAATTCCTTTCTGAGAAGCAGTAATTTGTATCATGTTGAGAAGGTAGAGAGAAAGGCGGGAGGGTCACACATAATCTGAAAACACATCCTGAAACCTTCCTCCTCCATCTCTACCTTGCCTGCTCCAGCACCACAAAGAAGGGAAGCAAGGATATTGCTTGAAACAGAAGAAGATAAAGTAACATGCATGTTTAACTTTACACCAAACAGACTTCATGCCAAACAGCCTCTCCTTTCCACTTACAAAACCTTGCAGTTTTCAGAAAACGCTGTAGCCTGAACTTCAAAGGCAATGAAAGATAGATGTGGCATGTAGGGAATTAGACACGAAATTTCCTTTATTATTAGGAACAAAAGCTGTGGGTCTAATCTCCTGTGTGATACAAGCTTTAGCTGATCAGGGTCACAGTGAGTCACTCTGATATTACAAACAGCAAATACACCATCTTTTTCTTTCTTTCTGCCTCCTACTCCTTCTATCATTCACATATGCAAATTCCGTAGCAAAAAGGGGAGTCATGCGTTACCACTGAGGGCAAAAGAATTCCCTTTGATCAGCCTCTTCCAGGCCTGGAGTCCCACAGTCTCTGATTCCACCTGCCCCTTTATGATATTTGATGTATCAAATTATACGCCACCCATCTCAGAAGTAGAATGTATTTTTTGTGAAATTCTGAAACCTTACCAAGGAAGCTGCATCTTGAAAAAACTAAATATTTCCTTTAGTTAGCCTTTTAAAACTTTGATATTTGTGGTTAAATTATGATAGATTGTTCTTCGCCAGCAGAACTACTGCAGAGGAGAGGTGATGTCCCGTGCACCAGCACCAACACCAACACCTCAAATGCTAGCGTCTCATAAAAAAGGAGTCGGGGAAACCGGAGAAAATACTGCTGGCTTCACCAGAAATAAAGTCCTTGTGCACAATGAGAACGGCAGACGGCAGAAAGTGCTTACTTGCTAAAAACAAATGAAATTTCTGAAATGTACCCCAGCATCTTAAAAGTACAGAATTTGTTTTTCTGCAGTAATTTTTATATAGTAGGAATTGAATTCTGGTGCAAAATGAATTGTTCTTAAATGCCTCAAGAAATATGTGGTCTCACTTACTGATCTGTTTTTGCTGGCATTTCTTTCTACTTTGCAGGGTCATGCAGCTGGGAGAGAGGGACAAGATATCTCCTAATGAGAAAATCTTAGGGAACAAATAGACAAGAAAAGCACATTTTAATTTAACCTCCAGCCAGCAGTGGTAGGGTTAATCCCCCAATGCGCACAAACATTTCCTGTGTTCCTTGTGGGGGTTCTGCCTGGCACATCATCCTCTCACCTCTGAATCCAATGCAGTAGAGCAGAAAAGAAAGACACAGGCAGGCAGCACAGTGTTTGTGGGAACTTCAGGCCTGCAGAAGAGAGCTTTTCATCGCAAACACGATCAAAGAAATAGATGTATTTATGTAATGAAGGTTCAAAAGCGGTCGCACTTACTGAATGCTGAGCCCGATCAAGGAAGCTGTAAGTCCCACTGGCATGAGTTCTTTGAGCAGTTTCCTAGGGAAGAAGAGAGAGGGAGACTTGAGTATCAAGGAACGTACTCTCGTATTGTGCCTTAACCTGTCTTGTCATCGTCCTATCTGGCTAACCTCTAAAATAGGCTTTTGATGAAACAGTGTATTTTACAATGATGATGGTAGTGATGATGAAAAGGATTAAGATCAAGTCTTTCAATATATTTTCATTTAATTCTTTCACACTCCGATTAGGAAGGTATTACTATTTTCTCTGTTTCAGAAGAGAAAACCAAGGCTCAGACAGTTCAAGTAAGTCATACTTGCACAAAGTATGCATTAAGGTAGCAGAGCCTGGATTTGAACTGGGCAATTGGATACCAAGTTTACAACAGGTCTGCTATGCACATGCCTTCTACAGTGAGCTCTATGCTATAGGATGTGTTCAAGGAAAGATGAGAGGCCAATTTTTCAGAGATATTATTGCCTGGAGTTAGGCAAAAAGAGATAAACTCTCTTTTCAACTCTAGAACTCTAGGATTCTATAATGGTCAATCCCATGATGGCTAACACTCAAAGTGACTGTGATACAAGGTGTCCTATCAATAATCAATTTCAGAAACATGGCTATCATCTCCCAATCAGAAGGAATAAGATCCATGTCCATTAATATTTACATATCAAAACCAAATATCACTCAAACTGCAGATGGCCATTACAATCTCATGTAATTCAGTGGGTTGGGGGAGAGGTCATCTCTAATCACGAAGACTTACTAATAGATATGAGAGAGTTACATGGCACCCTATACTCAAGAGAGTTGATTCTGACCCGTTCCCACTCTGGGGTCATGGGAGTAGCAGAGGTGGGATTGGTTTGCAGGATTCTAGAACCTGTTCTAGTGTTCTATTATTTCTCTCGAGTAGTGACACAGTGTGTGCTCAGATTCAATGGAACTCACAAGTTTCAGAGTTTAATTATAAACAGTATTCACAGATATATGTTTGGAAAATATTCTCCCGTTCTTAATAGCTTTAAAAAAAATTTTTTTTTAACATTTATTTGAGGGACAGAGAAAGACAGAACATGACCGGAGGAAGGGCAGAGACAGAAAGGGAGATAGAGAATTTGAAGCAGGCTCCAAGGCTCTGAGCATCAGCACAGTGACCAATGCGGGGCTCACACTCATGAACCATGAGATCATGACCTGAGCCGAAGTCAGATGCTTACCCAACTGAGCCAAAAGTCGGACACTTAACCAAGTGAGCCACCCAGGTGCCCCTCTTAATAGCTTAATATGATGGAGGTTTGTTTTTTTTTTTCCAATCTTCATATTTGGTGAGCCCACTGGTGTTGATAAATTAGAGCGTCTGAAAATAGAGAGTGGTTCTAAAATAGCGGAAAGAGAGATTTGCATCTGGAGAAGCCTGAAAGTATACACAGCTGTGAAGTTGTAAGGATGGTGGTAACAGTGGTCATTTATCTGTCCTTTCTTCTTTCCTTCCGTTCATCCATCCATCCATCCCAATCATCCATGACTCTGCTACCTACCAGCTTTGTGACCTTGATCAAGTCACTTAACTTTTCTGTCTCAACTTCTTCAACTATAAAATGAGAATAATATAGTACCTATCTCAACAGATTGAGGTACTAGAGGTTAGTATTTGTAAGGCACTTATTTAGTATTATGCCTGGCACGAAGTCAATGCCATTTAAAAGTTGTTTTTTATTATTATTATTATTATTATTATTATTATTATTATTGAAGTATAGTTGAAATACAATATTTTATTAGTTTCAGGTATACAGCATAGTGATTTGACAATTATAAAATGCTCACCACAATAAGTTTAGTTACCACCTGTCACCATAAAAAGTTATTATAATACTTTTGACTATATTCCCTACAATGTACTTTTTATCCCATGACATTCATTTTACAACTGGAGGTTTGTATGAAAGTTTATCAGTATTTATCAAGCCTCTCTTTATGCCAAGCACTATCCTCTTGGTGCCTACAGTCCAGGGGGAAAGTCAGATCTCGGTCAGGGATGGTGGGGAAGACTTTGCCAAGGAAGCAGCAATGGAAATGAGATCTTCATGATGAGAAGAATGTAACCACATGAAGTGAAAGAATATGATTTGGGAAAAGGAGGCAGAAAATTTAGGAAATGAATAGTCAAAGTATATAATTATCTTCTATAAATTCATAGTATGCCTCAGCTGGAGAATTATCTGTGTCCTAGTAAAAAAATATTAATGATGATAATAGTAATAGAAACAATAGCAGTAGTAATAGTTTTATTGAACTCATAGTATATCCAGGATTTGTATCAAAATCTACATGTGTCTTCTTATTTATTAAAAATAACGATGGCTTCTTTTGTCAGGTTCCACTTCCTAACTCTTGGGCAACTCTCTCTGGTACTTCTTCCTTCCCTTCACATAGTCGCTTACATACTCTAGGATCCAGCTAAACTGATGCCTTAAAGACAGAAGGCATCGTTATACCTCTAGGCCTTTGGTCACATCTTTCTTCCTCAACTGCCCTAATCCTGGCTCAATTTCAACTTGTTCTTCAATGTCCACCCAAGTGTGAACTTCTCTCTGCAACTTTCATTGACCTGTCCAGCTGGACTGAATTTTTTCCAGGGGCTCTGTGGTCTTTCACACACCCTTCTATCTGAACAAGAATCACACACTCTAACCCACTGTAGAGCTGGCCTGCTCTGGCTGTGAGCTCCTGGAGGCCAAGGACAATGTTTTACTGATATTTGGTAGCCTCATTGTCTGGCACAGTGCCCAGCCACTTAGCAGCGGCTCACTACACTGGACGGAATCAGCAGTGATTCCTCATCGAACCAAAGTGGTATAGCTCCAAGGAAGGGCACTGAAATTTATTCCAGAGAGAGGTTCTCCCTAAGCAAAACAGCCATCACTGGTGTTCCCATATTTGGTACCCAGATGATAATATTAACTTCTCATCCACATCAGCTTCATGCCCACACCTTTAGATCTGTTTTTAACCCAACCTGCAGTCGAAATGAATTTTATAACCACCCCCCTTTCTAACAAGAATCCATCAAATTCTCCAGGCAGATTGTTTTATAAAAGCAAACAAAGGCCGAGAACCATTGTTACAAGGTGAGAATAGAAATGGTCATTAGCAGCAATGGCACCAGACAGTGAGAAAAATCTAAGATGCTCTCTAGAGTTCCAGAGGAGCTGTATATGTTCAAACCAAAACAAAACAAAAACAAACTAAGATTGTCCTGAGTTTGCAATTACTCTTGCAAACTACCTTAAGAGCAATTTGGGACCAGGGAGAATCTTGGGTCCCAGAGGAATTGGGTGGAATTCTCATCATACTGAGACCAAGGCTGGAGCCAAAGGGCTGCAAGTGAACAAAATTTTAAAGGACATCAGAACAAAGTCAGGCAGAACAGAGGTGAATGCTCGCTTCCTGCATTAGCTGCCCTCACCTCTGCACTTTGTCCAAACGGACGCAAAAAATAGCGAGCCAATTACTTCCAAAACACTGGAGTTGATGACCCCTGGGTAGGCAGCGTGCAGTTTAACTCTCTCATTCGGTAAATCGGGCTGGTACTGGAGTGTTTCCACTCCCACAGACTGCCACAGACTGCTTGAGGATTTCCCCACTTGGACGACCGCAATAGGCTGCAGAGATCGCCTTCTGTCTCCAGGTTTTCACCTCTAATTCCTCCAAAGAGCTGGCACAGCAATCTTTACAGAATGTGACTGTGACTATATTGCTTGACTATTTAAACCCTGCACTGATGGCTTCCCATTCCATTCAGGACAAAGCCTATACCTTGTGACATAGCCTGACATCCTGCATGGTGTACTTCTGGCCACACTCCAGCTTTATTTATTTATTAGTGAGCAGGCACACCCTCCCTCTGGACCCCTAGTGTACCAGCCCTGGGGACCTTCTAGTTCTGGATCATACGTGAGTCGCCACCTGCCATGGGGATACTGTACATGCTGCATCTTTGACCTGGGATGCTTTTAACACCCACTAACTCCCATTCATCATTACTTTCTTATGGAAACCCCTACTACATGGTCTCAAGAGCCCTTCCTCATAGCACATAGCATGGCTATCACTTAACACTCAGGCACAAATGATTTAACTGATGTCTGGCTGTCTCCACTATGTTAACTGTATGAGGGCAGGGACTATGTCTATCTCACTCACCATTTTGACACCAGCTCTAACCACACTGTTGTGAATATGAAGGTATTCAATATATAGTTGCCAAAGGAAGGATGGGTGGAAGGGAGGAGGGATGGAAAGAAGGTTTCCTCACTGTTTTGCTAACTTTACACAGGCTTTGGCTGACTACACAGATTTTCTGAGTTATTTCCTTCCCTCTACCCCATCTCTGCCTAGCACAGATCTGGAAGTCATGTCTGAAGTATATGATCCTGGCTCCATTAGGGCTGTGTTCAGTAGTAATGAAACCTCACCTGATCTCAGTTCAATTTTCTCCCAGGAATGTGGAAGGTACTCTTCAGTTTTTGCTAGTTCCTAGAACTGAGAACTCAGTAATTGTGGGGTCACCATTCTCTGCCATGTATTCACTGAGAAGAAGAGAATAAGCCAGGCTCTGGAGCAAGAAAAATTGATTTGAGAGAAGAACAGGCAAGACTGGAAAGGCCATGGGAGGGAGATTTCTGGGTGGGGCTGAGACTCACTCCTGTGCTGGGGGATAAATATACACATTCTGTGAGCTACTTTGAGTATGCTTCTATTAACTGTCAACAAAAGAGGTACATGTAAGACATTGGTCTCAAAGGGTGGCATCTCACCTAACTAGGGGGATTCTCTACCAACCCTTCATTCAGATTAGGAAGCTGTATCTTAATCAGTGATTGTGAGTGGGTACACACTCTCTAACCTTACTCAGGTGTCTGAAGTTTAACTGTCCTAAAAAGGGGTCTCAGGCCACATCAAGCACAGACTAATGCAGCCAGTATCATATGGGCTTTTTATGTGCAATTTGGCAATGATGGGGCATG